TAACGAGGTCATCATCATGCGGCACGCCCAAGTTGCAAACACCTGCGAAGCGTGCTTCGCTTTCTGGGCGGGCCATACACAACCATTTGCAACTGCATGAAAATTGCAAGATACGGCGAAAATTGCTCTGTGCCCTCGCTCGAACGCCTTCACCCACATCTCGAGTTTACGGCTTGTGCATTGCACCGTGAAGGCGAATCGAGGGCGGCTGAATCGAGACCCCCTAAGACATCGATGATCGATACGATACTGAGGGAGAGACATGCTTCTTTAACACGCTACTTTCCTCGAAGTATTCGAGCGAAAATATCGTTCTTTACACAAAGACATCTTCAAATGTCTAACTGTAGGAAAATCCAATAGAAACAACAAGAAAATAAAGTTGAATAAAACGAGGATAATCGATGAGAAAGAATTTGGTATTCAGAAAATTACTGGGAAAACTTTTAAGTCGCTGGCTTTACGAGAGTCTGTGGTTTTCTAACAATATAAATTGCGAATACGATATAAGAAAAAAGACAATCTGCTTCGTTATTCAAAAGATAAAATATTCATCGCAATTGTTATAGCAGCAGAAAGTAGCTTACTACAATGATATTTTATCTACCGATATATATATTAAGCAAGATAGAAAAAAGTGACAAGCGAGATCCTTTCTCACTCTTAATGATTCTAGCAATTATCTTAATAATAACATTAGTTTCTGGAAATATAATAACTGGAGATACAATAATAATCTATATATCATAAATTTACAGAATTAAGTATATAATTATTATCTTTTCGTGTTATAAATTGAGATTTAATTCTAATTATAATTTTTTTATGTAAAAAAGTCACAATACGTATAAAATTCAGAATTAACGTTTCTAAAATCAATGACAAGATATTTAAGGACAAGATAAAAATATAACCGTAATTCTGTGGAAAATTTCAGTATTAATATATTAAGATATTTGCATTAAAGATTTTTATGAAAAATTCAGTTTGATGCAGATCTAAAAATAATTTTATTGAATCATCAAAATAACTATGTAAGGAAATCATACACTGTTAGAAATGTTCTTAAATTTCATTTCATAAAATTTACTTTTCATAAAATTTTATTAAAAGTACATTAAATTTCATAAATTTAATGTACACGTTCATTACATTTAAGTAACTATTTGTTACTTAATAAGTGATTTAATTTTCAGTTAAACCATTTTTTAATTTCGTTTATAACCACGAACTTCATTTACATGTAAAGAAAGCTCATAGTTATATTTCTAAGTATAGTGAAGAACGCTGCAAAAAATTTGATATTCTAGCAATTTAAACGCTCGATAATTTTAATAAATAATAAATGAAAAATGCTTCGAAAAATATGAGTCAAGCACAGTACTTGTGCAATAATAAATTAACACAAATTAATTAAAAGACTTAAATATAATTAATTAAATCGTTTCAGCTCATTTTTCATACCATCTTCAGCGAGATTACAAATTGTGTACATCAAGAATACATTCTACTGAGGTAATCACAATTTCTAATCAATTTGTTGAAAATGATAACTATTGACACTGTGTCTGATACACACATATATTATAATTGTCGTTTTTTTATTTATTATTTGTACAATTTGCGAGTTCCATTACACTTTCTTTAGAATTATTTTAATAGTTCAACAAAATTATTTTCACATATACATATATCTAGCTACATTTTTAGATACTTTAGCAAAATTATTTTTTTTGTGTATAATCTTTAATGTAAGTAATAATATCATTAACTTATTCTTGAGAGAATAAGTTAATGAAAGAAATGAAAAAGAGATTTAAAGAGGTTAAAACAACTATCGACTTTATTAATAGAATTATACTATATTAATATTCATAATAGAGTTTTAAGTTTAAACTTTGCGTAATACTGAATTAAAAAAATTTCCGATAACAGAAATAACTGTCGATAACATTTAATTATTGATACAAATTTTTTACGTTATCTCTTTTACTGTAATAAATATTAATTTAAAAAGTTTGTAATTTGTATGTATATGATTTTTTATAGATACAAATATTACTAGATTATAATTTATAACATTCATAAAAATTACTGCCATCATATTTTGCAATCGCACTAGTGGGAATATATAATAATGAATCGAATGTTTCACTCTAGATTTT